TGGAAAGGGTCTATTCTTCGAAAAAGATAAGAGGAAAGGAGTAGAAATATTCAAAGATGCAAATTGGGCGGATCAACAAAAGATAGAAGGTCTACTATCGGCTAATGCACTTTTTTATGGGGAAAATGTGACAACTTGGAGAAGTAAGAAACAGAATATGGTAGCTAGAAGCAGTGCTGAGGCAGAATTTAGAGTTGTTACGTAATGAATATGTAAAGGACTTTGGATAAAGAAACTCTTGGAAGAACTGAAAGTTGGAGTAGAACTTCCAATCAAACTCTATTGTGATAACAAAGCAGCTATTAACATCTCTCTCAACCCATTGCAATATGATAGAACTAAACATGTAGAACTAGAAAGGATTGTCCAGACAAGCATTTCAAGATTTTATCTGCAAGTTGAACATGATCAACAACTACAATTCAACTTGAGGGGGAATGTAGAAAGGACCGAGTATGGTAAGGAGAAAGTTATGGTAATTGGAATTATTTAGAGATTCTTGTAACTTTTGGTAGGACAATTTACTTCCAAACTTAGAAGATTAGTTTTCCTATTTCTCTTCCTTAATCTTATGTACATAAATTGATTGTAATCAATGTTGTAAATATATTAGAAATGTGAGAACTTTCTCTCACGTGTGTATCTTATTCAAGTAGTTGTCTTTATTATGTTTCTACTGTGGAGGAATTTACTTGCATTTTGTTTATCTCGTTCGTATCTAGGCCTGGACTATTTGGAGCTGAAGTGGAGAGGGTTCTTGGTGGTGGTTGTAGGATAATTTACTGCTTTAAATCACCAGATCTTTCATGTTAAATCATTAAGAAGTACATAAATTATGGTGGAAGCATACCTGAATCAGACATAATTAATGCAATAATGAATTACGCGGTCTTGTCTTCCAAATCTACACGCAACCTCCTTTTTCTCTCTGTGATGGGATGCAGAAGAGAATGAATAATATGTACGTGTGATTTGCGGACCATAACCTCATTTATATAGCGACGCCCTTTGACCTAATTCGGCCCATCATAGAATTAGGACTTGAGCCCGGTCTCTACACATATGTAAACCCACACTTTAATTGGATACATTAAAATCCAAAGTCGAAGCCTTATTATATCACTTTAATTGGGTTTAATCGAATTTGATAGCCTTTAATTTAACACACAATTATTTACACATATAAGCTAATCGATGGATTAAAAAATCTTACAATCTCCCATTTGGGCTATATGTGTCACCTTATAATTGTGCATTAAATAGAACCTTATGAGTGCTCAGAACTTTTTACCGAATGTATCCCCAAACAATCCCATCCATCAATCATATCAACATAGGATTAAAGCGGCTTTCGCTACTTTCATGTAACTAAACCCATCAATGGTCACGTATATCGATATACCCGAATGACATAGATCAAGCATGGATGTGTAGCATGAAAATTACATGTGATATGATCTGTAACATGCCTATTTCCAACTGGTTTACCTTAATACCTTAGTGAGATCGTTTTAAACAAGTTCAGAGATAATAAACCAAATAACTTTAACCTTAAACCGTATCCAAAATAATAGTACATGTGTCCAATATGAAAAACAAAAATACAAACTCCCACTGAAACTAGATATCCTCAAGAGACACTATACCCATATGAGCAGTGTGCTCATGAAAGACCTTGG